AAAAAACATCTAAGACTGCTCTGTTCCGAATGTTCCAGAAGCCTTCCAGTGGAGCAAGCAGAAAAGGATGGGGGCAAAAGGCAAGTTAGATCTCCTGAATCTTCTCTATCCTTCAAGCTCTTCCCCATCCCCTCTGCTCATCCCCTCTCCCCCCACACACAGCTACCAAGGTCTCTAGTTCTTTAGTCAGGCCAGGACCTGGGGGGAGCAGATCCTACTCTGCAGTCTATGCCAACAGCAGGAAACTTTTGCATTCCAGGCCCACAGAGAACAGAGTCAGCCCTGAGCCTGGGTTTTTTCCTTGGCACTTCTCCAAGAATTGCTGTCAGGAAGGCAGCCCACTCGGTGCCTTGGCATGGCTGTCAAGATTCCTGTATCCTGACTCCTGCCACTCTGGGCTGGACCACAGGGACCTGGCTGAGAGGAGGGCATTCCTGTTTGGTGAGCTGCTCTCCTCTTCTGTGGCAGGGAAGTTTTCTGGCAGTGGGGGGTCTGACCTCACCCTGGCCACTCCCTGGGTTCCAGAACCTTCCTTCTTGATGGAGAAGGGGGTTAGGAGCTGTGGACTGGGAGCAACTAGGCTGGGGTGAGCAGAATTTCCAGCACTTAAGGCAAGACCTGAGTCACTAGTGCTTATTTGGCCTCTAAGTGGGCCACCTACCAGCTAGGTGACCCTGGATATGAAAATCAATTTCCTCATCTACAAAACAAATTGCAAAAAGAGTCTACTCATTATTTGTAACTTTAAAAACTATTGTTACTAGAGAAACAAATTGATATTCCCTGAACATATTGGTCTAGTCCTTCTGTCCTGCCTTCCCTTTTGCTTCCCCAAATAAGGCTTTTTCCTACTTAACCCAGAAACACCAAGCTTTCCTCTAACAGCCTAGATGGACCCTGCCAAGGGCCTTGGGTATAGGCAAAAAGCTCTAGAGACACATGTCCTGGTCACATCCCTAACCCTATCCCACTGGACAAATGCCACAGGTGGCTTTTTCCAAACTGCCTTCCCCAGCCAGTGACCCCTTTTCTTTTCACCTGCCAGGACCTGTATTTCTATTTCTGTATTTTGAAAGCTGGTTGGTGGGGCACACAGAGTAATTAATGATTGATTCTCAGGCACAGCCACCAGGAGGTTTCAGAGCAGACTGCTGGCCATTTCCTGAGCGTCAGGACTAGTAGAAATCCCATGTGGCTGTGGCAAGATTGGGCAAGTCCAGGAGGAGACAGAATAGTGTGAAGGCTCTAAGTGTCCTGAGCACTTCTGCCATCTGAAAACGTAAAGCACACTGGGGAAGTATGGGCTGGACTCATCCACATCACCAGTCCTCCCCTTCCGCCCCTAACTCTGCTCCCCTCTTTTCAGGCCAAAGGACATTCACTACTCCCCTTAACAGTCACTCCTGTCCCCCTACAGCCACAAGCATGCTCTCCCTGGTTTCCTCTCCAAGAATTTCACCCAATGGCTCAAGGCTGCTTTTCAAAAACTCACTGTGCTTTGGGGGAAAGATTAAAGGAACTGACTTCTACAGCAAAATGTTAGAGGAGATTTAACTGTGGCTTTCTTGGGCGTATTGCTACTGCCTTTGTTGTCTAATAATAATTAACTTTTGTACAGAGCTGTAGTTTTCAAAGGGCTTTCACATACATAATTCTATTCAACCTCACAACAAAGCTACAAGGTAGGTCTTACCCTCCTCATCTCCACCTGCACCCACATCCTGCTGAAGAGGAAACTGAGGTTCAGAGAAAAGAAAATGGTCCTACTTCATGCAGTCAGGGCAGGAGCACCTACCTCTGACTCAAAGTAGAGAACTGCTATTTTCTTCCTAAAGGCTGCACTTTAGGCTGAAAATGGTTCAACAAGTATGGGAAGAGTGGGCTCAGTAAGTAAGAAGGAGGATTGTTGGGGTGGGGGCAGGGGTCTTCTGCCATGGCTGGCCTCCAGGAAGCCTGAACAGGGTATCTTCTGAAACTTCAGAAGGTGAAGAGGTGGTCCCAGGTTTTCTCTGCTGTGGTACCTGGGGCTGAGGTGCAGAGTCCCATAGAGACAAGGGGCAGGTCACCTGAGCCAGAAATTGGTAGGATTCCACCTGTGCAATCACTCACTCACCCAGTAGTCAGTTGAAACTCTGGATCACTTACAAAATACCCCAAATCATGCCCCTCTAATTAGCTAGTAAAACTAAGTCAATTCATTTACCCAAGACAGTCTCATATGGAAATCTCACACCTAAGGAAGGTCTTTGGTCTCATCTGGGGCAAACCAGACAATTCATCTCACTACCACCAGCACAAGAGATTTCAGCTGAAACTCAGAAAGACTGTCTTTTTGAAAGCTTAACAGATCTATATAGAATTAAAAAGTCACAGAACATTATAAAACCTCAAAAATTTAGAGGAGATAGACAGTTACCTAGAATGGCTGGAAAGCTAAACGTAAAAGAAAATTATTTCCCCAAAGAAACACTCAGATCTATGACCTAATTTCTCAACTTTTTAAAGGCAAGCTAGAGTTACTCATTTCTCTTTATTTTTGCATTTTAATATTGGCAACAAACTATATAATTTGGAAAAACATTGAGTTAAAAAATGTTAAGGGGATTTACACCACAAATTGCCAATCGATAGTCTTGGCAAGAAAACATTTTGAGAAGAGTCTGAGGAGAGGTGGAAAAAGAGGTGTTGGTTTTAAAAAGTGAGTTCTCAATTTCCCCTTGAACTGACAGTCAAGGTGCAAATGTATTTTGAAATTTCAAGTAAAGTCTAAGGAAGGATTTAAATCTTAAAACTTGAAGAAAAACTTCTATTAAAGATATTTTAAAATATTCATATTTCAAGCCCTTCATTTTCCAAAGAAGGAGACTGACACCAGCTAGGCAGAGACGGGGAACAGGTTAAAGACATTTCTTTGGCCTTGGTCTCAGGGAATCAGGAAGTATCAAGGAACCCAGACCTGATTTCCAATTGTAATTAGAAAGCAGAGCCAGTTTTGTTTATCTCTGCAGCAAGAGCTCACCGTGTTCTTACTGCTTGTTGGTTCTAGATTTTCTGTGCTGAATGTCCTCCTGGTCATTTGCTATATCACCTGCAGCCTGCAGGAGGGGTGTTCTAAAGGGTTGTGGGTGTTGTTTCTTTGAGAAGTAGCTTGCACAATTGCATATTAAGTTTTCATATTCAAGTTTTTTTTTTTTAATGAGTTCACAAGCAGGCCAGGAATGCTTTAATAACTTGCTGGTTTTGCCCTTTGAGAACTTTTGCCCCAAAAGGGGAGGGAAGATTGGCCAGAAAGAACACATTAGTTTTAATGATTATTGACATCTATCAGACCCTTGGATTCAGTAGAACTTCTGAAGTTCTCCGAACCAGGATGAGGACTTGTCAGACAGCCTGGACCATTGCCTCCTGGAAAGAAGAAACAGAGTCTTGGTCAGGCCTCCTCACTCCCTCACTCCACCCTCTCTACTACAGTGTCAGGGCAGGGGCCAGAGCTCCAAAACACCTGTGGGTCCTTTGGACCTATGATAAAAATCCGCTTCCATCCTGATACCCTTCTATGTTCTCTCCCCAGAGTGTGACCAGAAAAGTTAAGGATCTGGACCTTTTAAAAACCACAGAGCAATTTTAAATAACAATTTTGGAGCAACATTAAAAACAATAAAGCACCATGTGCTTTTATTTAGAGCCCTTTACAAATGTGTAGGATGCATTTAGAGACACACACATTCTTTTCTCTTTTCACAACCAATTGTCTCCTAAATCAAGAGATGAGGAAGGCTAGGTGGAAGGAGGTAGTGAATTCACTTTTTTAAAATTATTAAGAAAAGCCATTTGTGAATTTTCACATATGTGTACACGCACACTCCCCCGGACAATCTTTCCTCCACCCTTTCACTTGCTTCTTTCTATGTCTAGCACCTTAGCCCCCCATCAGTGAGCAGCCACTCGGGGCAACAATAGCTCTTCCAAGCCAGTAGGACTGTCCTCTCAATTGTAATCCTGAGTCCAGAGACCTGGCCTGAGGTTAGGGGAGTGTCCAGGCCTTGCCCCCCTGACCTACAGAACATTGCTTCCACATGCTCCCAATCTTCCCTATATCCTGATTTCCCAGCAGAGAGGACAGTGAAGAAGGAAGGGGCAACTGTTACCACCACTAAGGGCCTCTCACCCCTACCCAAAGGACACCTCCTTACCCACACCTAGGCCCCACACTGCAGAGGGTTTTGATTTCAGCAGCCAAGGCCATCGGTCATTGCAGTCCTGTCAATTCCAATGCTCTTTCAGGATGGGGTGAAATCTAAGCTCTTCCCTGCTCTTTCCTCAAACTCTTCTCCCAAATTCAAAATTCTCAAGGAACAATAAAGAGGGCCTGGTTGGGAAAAGAGAGGAGTCCCTGTGGCATAGGTAATGTGAGCACTATTTTCCTTAACCTAATAGTGGGTGAGTATGCATCCTGTCTAGGCGGCCCAGAGGAAATGGTTTCAGGACTATTCGGGAGTCTGCCCCAGAAGCGGTCTCCTCCGTGGTGAGAAGGTGGGATCATCTTGCCTGTAGCCTTGTGAACAAGCTTCTAGACATCAAAACAAAAGTTCCTTCCTGGAAAATAAAGAGCTGCTTCCCAGTGAACAGACCAGAATGGAGACAAGGGCTGCTGGGTGTCACACAGGGACTGTGCCTCCCACTCTGGTGGTCAGCGACCCCAAGAAGTTCCTGCGAATCTCATCCGCAGGCCCTGAGGCCTCCATCTCCCACTCCTCCAATACTCCCAGGCCTGCTGAGTTAGGGCTCAGCTGCCTTCCTCTCTTTCCTCCGCTGGAAACAGAAGCTCCAGCGAATGTTTCTAACTCCTGAGTCCACTCAGCCATGTCCCCCTTGCAAAATCCTCCCCTTCCCTCACCCCCCTGCACCCAGCCAGCCAATCGGCGGCCTGTGAGCCGCGCCAGACCCATCTCCCATGGCCTCGGCGGGATAAAACCGGTCGGAGATGCCGGGTGGATGGGAACAAACTTCAGAAGGAGAAGAAACACAGGGCCCAGGGCACCCTCTCCGGCGGACCCAGGCAGTGAGGGCCTGTGGCCAGCCGGCCAGGTATGCGGCCCAAGGGTTAGCAGGGAGCTGGCTGGGAAAGAGTGGGATTCGAGAAAGGAGAGGGTCCCAGGAAGACTGGCAGCCTTTTCACTCCCAAGCTAAATCAGGGCAGTGGAGAGAAAAGATACCAGGTCCAGAGTTTGGGGCTTTCTCCTTGTACCCGCAATCCCGGATCCTCCGGACCAACACGTGAGCTAGGCCCAGCTAAGGTTGACCTCCTGTCCGCTCCAACTCCCCGACTCTTGGCACGCAATAAAAGTAAGGGACAGAGCTCGGGGAGACCGTCTAAGGCTGAGGGCTTCAAATCTCACGTCCCTTCCCCTGGATCTGTGTAGGGTAGCGGCTTGGCGCCCGGCGCGGCAGGGACCTACATAAGGAAGCCCCGAGTATTCCGCAGGCTGCAAGCGACTCCCCAGCGATGCCTCACAACTCCATCAGATCGGGTAAGGACGCGGCGTGGCCAGGACCCCCGAGTCCCCGCACTGCGTGCGTCCGTGCGTGCGCTCGGGTGGGTGAGACTCCGGAGCTTACGCTGGGGCTTGCGGGACCCACCTGCGTGAGGACGCAGGTGGGGGCGCCTCGGGCCTGGCTCTCCGCTAGGGCCGCCTCGCCATTCTCCGGTGCCCCACTCCGCCCGCTAAGGCTCCCTCTCCAGGTCTTGGTTTCTGCGGACCACACTGAGCGGTGAGGGGTTCTCTGTGGGGTCACAAGGATTGTCCTTTGCGCCCTACAACCATTTTACATGGCTCATTAGAGTGGACATCCTGCGCCTTCTCAGGCCATGGGCCGCATGGGTGCTGGTCTTGCAGCTCCCTTGCCCCGACCTCTAAACCCTGGTCTCCAGATGCGCGCAGTCCTTCCTGTGACTTCCCAGGCAGGACCATGAGTCCCCCGCATTTCTCAAGCCCTAGGAGAAGGAGCCTGTGGTCTGGGGGTTTGGCAACCGGTGGCACACTTTAGTGCTCTCGGGTTCCCTTGCCTGGCCAGTGGCAGACTGGCAGCAGCGCACAGAGTCCACGGGCGAGGACTAAGCTACCAACGGATCCAAATCCGTCTCCCACCTGCGCCCGGGCCTTGGGCCTTCAAAAGCGCTTGTGCTTCCTGACTGCGGTGCCTGCTTTTCCTACTCCCGGCCGGGGCCGGGCGGGCTCTGTACCGGGAAGGAACCCCGGGGTCGGGTCTGGTGGACGCGGTGGGTACGGCCATCCGGACGCTCAGCCAGTGCGGACAGCGGGAGGAGGTGCGACTCGGACAGCGGGAGGAGGTGCGACTCGGCCCGCAGTGATGGATGGAGCCCGGCCCGACGCGAGGAAGGCGATTTATGGGGCCAGGGCGCATCGCTATCGATTTGGGCCGGCGAAGTGAGAGGAAATCAATATTTCAGATGAATTCTTGGCGAATATGAAGTCCCGCTCGACAAACGGGACATTTGTTATAATAAGGAGGGTCAGATCCCGCGCGGCGCGCGGCTGAGGTCTCTATTTAGCTAACCGCCGTGGGATCCGGCTGCGCCGCGCAATGTGGGTCCCTGGGCCGAGGCTCCACTAGGAGGGGCACCGGGAACCCCCTAGGGCGCAGAAAGGTTTCTCGCCCTAGATTGTCAGAGCGAGTCAGCAGGATGTTCTCTCCTCGCCCCCCAGCTCCCTTCTGGGAATGTGCCAACTACCCGCTGCGGTCCCGGGCGGCTTCTGGGACCGCGGACTAGACAGACCTTGAAGCCCTTCCCGGAGCTGCGGGGTTGGTGAAGCCGGGGACCAGGCGAAGATACCTGGCACTCTTTATCCGACTGTTTTCGGGAGCCAGGAGCGCCCCCAGGCCACTTTTTAAGGCCAGAAGGAGGTTTGGGTCCTTTAACCTTTAGCCAAACCGGGTATGATACCAAGTGTCGCCCCTGCTTCGGGATCCGGACCCCAGCACGCGGTGCCGGGTGCCCCATTCCTCGCCAGGTTTCTCTTGGCCACTTCCGCTAGGCCTCCTGGAGTTTCAGTCTTTCTTCCACGACTTTCCCTTGACCTTTCAGGGCGATGGTTAGGAAGAGTGGGTGCTGTAAGACCTCGGTTTTTCCAGACTGATGCGGGACCTTTCCCTTCTGATCCGGGTCCCTCAGTTTGGCTTGTTCTTTTCGCTACTTATTTTCATTCTAAAAACATTTATTAGAGTAAATGGAATAAAAGAAGTAAAGACAAACGGCACAATTACTTTATTCTTAACCAGCGACAATTCCAAAAGATGAGACTCCGCTTTCCCTTTAGCTCAGATGCAAATCACTCTTGGGCTTGAGGAGGGAGCCATGTACCCTAGGTATTTTTCTGTTTGGGGAAGCCAAAGGGACATCTACTTGCTCCCCAAAACAAAGAAATAAAGCCGCGAGGGAGGGAGAAAGGGATTCCTCTACTAGTTTAATGTAGTGCTTTAAAAAGAGTAAGAAAATTGCCAAAAATATCTCCAACGGTTTAAGGCTATTCCTCATTTCTTTCCCGAATCCTCCCTCTCAGAAATGCCAAGCAGGAGACCCTCTGTATTTCTAATCAGTTGACTTGACACTGTTACCTACATTTAGAGCTTAAATTCATAAGATGACCCCTCCTGTTATTAAAAACCCACTCTCTCAGGTTTTAGCGGCTTCCCACTTTTCCCCAGTTCTGAGTTCGGCTGTACGTGGATATGTCCGATTTAAGTTTTCTCTGGAGCGGACTCCAGGGCGCTAGCTTCCGCTCGGTTTTTCGCGGGAGCGAGGCCGAACGCACCATTTCCAATAATCGGAGACCAGGCGCCCCTGGAAAAGTTTTCAACGCGCTTCCGCCACTCAGGTTGCCGCGGTTCACCCTTGGTTCCTTCTCTGATAATCTTGCTTTGCAGAAAGAATTTTCTTTTCTACACCTTTATTATTCAGGAATGGTACGAGTGAATTATTCTGATGCTCTGAAGCCAGCGATGGGTTGAACGTTGCGTCAAATCCTCAGCAATTTTGGTTGCATCAGAAAAAACAAAATCTGCAGCTGAGTTTTTGTAAAAATATTCAAAAATGCATGTGAAATGATAAATGCCACATAAATATTAAAATGAAAATAATATTGCGCCCGTGAGGAAAGAAGTTTAGTAAAATCAAGCAGATTGTCACTAAAAGTTATGTGAAATAACTTGCAAACCTCTCCCTCTGGTCCTGAAAATAGATCACTCAACCGGTAAAATGAGATGTAAGATCCAGGAGAAAGAATGTCTCTAAGTTCCTGATCAGAAATCTAAAGCCCTGTCTCTCCCCCTTGGTTTTAGACTTGGAAGGAAGGAGAATGAATACATCAGGAAAGGATGTATTTTCTTTCCAGGTTTCTTGCCCGGGTTAAAAATAAGGTCTTGGGAGGAGAAGCAGTGTTGAGGAACATAAAGAGGTATTGGGGTTCCTCAATTCATCTTTGTTTCAAGATGTTCTATCCTCCTACCCTCCTCAATGCAAGTTAATTAGGAGATAATTTAGCTACCTTGTGAGTTAGTTTTAAGATAAGTATCTTTTCAAGCTTTGTCACTTTAATTGCCCCACTGATTGATAAGAAGTAATTATTTCTAATTGACACTTTTTTGATGTCTATTGGAAGCATTTATTTAGGACCTTTTTGGGGTGGAAGGAAAGTTAATTAATTTTATCAGCCTACATTCAAAAGGACTCTAATTTTGCTGAAGAAGACAAAGGAAGTGAAACAAAACAAAAATCGACGCTATGGAATTTTAATTATTAAGAAACATTTTAATTCAAAGAAGACTTCTCCTAATATAATATGTCAAAACTTTCTATGGCCTTACCTTTCCAATTTTAATGAGGTGCACGTTTTATGCGTGTACATTTTCTCATGCAAATATTCACAAGCTCTTTATATGCGGACTGCCTGTGGAAGTGGGTCCCTCTGCTTTGTAATTATTCTTTGTGAAAAGTAAAGGCAAAAGAACTTAGCATGCTCATAATAAATGAAATTATTTTTGTAAAAGCTAACTGTAGGAAAGATTTGCTAGTAGTCATCCTCATTTTGTAATTATTGACGGAGTTGGGTATAAAGGTGAAACTTTACTTATGGTGACATGCGATCTCACAACTAAACCTTGGAGTAAACAGTTTAATAATTTACATCCTCCAGAACATTTTTTTTCTGTGTGAGAGAAAGACAGAAAGAATAAAGAGAAAACAAAAGACAATTAAAGGAGGCATGGGGAAGTGAGAAGACAAAGAGGGAGGTGGCTGCAAAGAATGAAAGGAAGGCACTTATTTCAAAACTGAAGGTATCCAGGTGCATGAAATCTTTGCTGTTCAATGTAAGAAATTGAAGCCTGCTTTCAAAGTACATTCTTTTGAACACAAAATCTCTACCACAGCCCCTATGCCATCCCTAACCACCATCCCAAACCAACCCCCACTTTTCTATTTGTTAAAAAAGGCAGAATCTTTGGGAGTCAGCTGATCAGGATATTGGGTATCTGGGTATCACAGTTTTGATCTGGAGTCCATGGAAAGAAAGCAAGAAAATACACATTTTGCTCTGGGAACTTATAAAAAGACTACAGTGCTATTTTTTTTATTATGAAAAGCCCCTGTGATCCTCATCTCTAGCTGTCTATGCAATCTTTTCATAGCTAGACTCGTGACTTACTAGTATAAGAAAATATTCCTAAACTAACCCAAAGTGGACACACACACACACTGCTGCACGCCTGGCATGAGAGGAACATAATCACACAAGATTTGTTCCTGTTACGTTACTTTCAGCCTGTGCCTTTTCAATAATTTTTGTATAAAATCTTGTCTTCCGTTAATGATGTTTCTCCCAGATTACGCGGGGCTGCAAGAATGAGGAAACGTTTTCAATGAAAAATAAATTTAAGACGTACAAACAGCAGATAATATCACATACCAACCTCACTATTAGTGAAAATGAAAAAAATATATAAATAATGCAAAAAATCAGCAAGGGAGAGTCTAGTAATGGAAAATTCCCCTGCAATTAAATGAAACAGTAATTTAGTAGAGATATGCCTGAATGAATTAGCATGTATTAATTGGTGCTCATAAAAACAATGTGTGTGTGTGTGTGAGAGAGAGAGAGAGAGAGAGAGAGAGAGATGGAGAGGGTAGTATGGAAATTATGTATTTTCCATAGGAAAGGTCCCTCAAATGTTCATATCAAATTATGTCATTGTCACATTCTGTCTTGTGAAAAGTTCCAATTCTTTCGTTGGCAAATTTCACCCACACACCCACAGTTTGGAGGCAAGAAGAGCCTATCCCGCCCCGCCCCCCCCCAGCAGAGAGAATGGACCCTCCCCCCCCTTCTTTTGGTACATTTCCAAAGGTGAAACCAATGGGGGACACACAGGCAAAATCACTGTGCTTAGGAATATCCAAGCGGTCCCATAAAGGCTCCCAGGTGACCTAACTCCTCCTGCGGTGGGGTGCACA